AGATGGGGATGGGGGAGATGGGGATGGGGGGAGAGGGGGATGGGGTCCAACGGCCAGGGCAGGGCAAGGGGGTGGGGCTGAGAATGGTGGCACCCAGCACCCACCAGAACCCACCAGCACCCACCAGAACCCACCAGCACCCACTGGCACCCTGTGCCACCCCCTACAGCCCCCATCAGTGCCTTCCCCCAGCTCTCCCCACCCTCCTTCCCCTCTTCCCTGCCTCTCTCCTTCATCCCTTCATCCCTTCATCCCTCACCCCCCTCGTGGTTTAAATCTCCCGAGGAGCTCAGGAGTTATTTTGAGGAAGGGGGAGGGAAGGAGCCCGGAGAGGCTTTTCCTGGGGAAATCAAGTTTCCTGCGGCTCCACAAATCCCAATCGTCGGTGCAGGCGGGAGCTCCTGGTCCTCCTGGGCGGGAGTTAATTCCCATGGGATGGAGGTCAGGGATAGAGGAGGGAGTGAACACCGGGCAGAGAGGCTTCCTGGGAATTGCTTTATTTTTTGGGGAGGGGGGAGGGAAAAAAAAAATAAAAATATAAAAATATAACAATAAAGAGCCTGGAAGAGCTGGAGCAGAGACTCCTCTGGCCTGGCAGGAATTCGCCTGCCTTTCCTGCTGGAAGCACTTCCCATAACTCCCAAAAAATAATGGAAAGACCCTCAAATTCTATTTCTGGTGAACAGGCAGCGAAATTCCTTCCCCCACAGGGAACCCCCCGGGCCCCCATCCCGGGACGAGGGAGGGAGGGAAACCAGGCGGCTGCTTCCAAACGGGTCCTGGAAGGCGCCGGGAGGCTCCGGATAAATATCCCGATGATTGTTATTATTGTTGGCGCAGATGGGGCTTTCACGGCCCGCCGGAGATTCCCGGCACGCCCCTGCCGGCGCTCCGGGCGGCGAGAAAACCGGCGGCCCGTGCCAATGCCGGCTCCGGGATCTCCCGATGCCCATCCCGGCTCCAGGGTCTCCCGATGCCAATCCCGGCTCCAGGGTCTCCCGATGCCAATCCCGGCTCCGGATCTGCCGATACCAATCCCGGCTCCAGGGTCTCCCGATGCCAATCCCGGCTCTGGATCTGCCGATGCCAATCCCAACTCCGGGATCTCCCGATGCCAATCCCGGTTCCGGATCTGCCGATGCCAATCCCGGCTCCAGGGTCTCCCGATGCCAATCCCAGTCCTGAGGCTGGAGGGGTTTTGTGCTTCCCCCCCCAAACAATCCTGGATCTGGGTGTTCCCTCTCAGAGTGGGGGGATTGGGGATTCCGGATTCTCACCTGGAAGGAGGGATGAGAAGCCGGGAAGATGGGCCAAGCACTGGGATATTGGACCTGGCACTGGGATAACGGGCCTGGCACTGGGATAATGGGCCTGGCACTGGGATAAAGGACCCAATTCCAGGATGATGGGCCCGGCACTGGGATAATGGACCCAACACCAGAACGATGGAGCCAGCGCTGGCATAATGGGCCTGGCACCGGGATAAAGGGCCCTGATGCCAGGATGATGGATCCAACACCAGGATTACAGGCCTAACACAGGATAATGAGTCTGACGCTGGGATGAGGGGCCCAACACCAGGATAATGAGTCTGACCCTGGGATGAGGGGCCCAACACCGGGATTACGGGTCTGACTCCGGGATTATGGGCCTGCCACCGGGATAAGGGGCCCGACACGGAGCTGGCTGGGCTGTGACAGCTTTGCCCCCTGCTCTTTTCCCAGATTTTGGGGGTCCCCAGCACCTCTTCCAACCCCCCTGCAGTGCCAGCCCCAGCTGCTCCCTCTCCCTAGCGCGGACAGGGCGGTTTTTCCCTCTCCTGCCGTCAGCAAATTCCCGGCTGCCACCGCTGCTCCTCCCTGACCTCTCTCTCCCTGCTCCACAAACTCCTTCGGATTTCTCTCCTCCTCAAATTCCTCGCAGCGGGGGCAGATCTGAGGGGCCCTGGAGACCCTCCAGCGCCCAGGGAAGAGTTTTGGGGTGGGTTTAGGAGCCGAATCCATGCCCAGGGATATCATCCCGGCCCGGCTTCCCCCCCGTGGACGCTTCCCCAACCCCAACCCCAACCCGTGGGATCAGTTTTAATAAACATCCTTTATTTTCATCTCCCTTTATTGCCATCATCCATCTTCTGGCTGCTCTTTGGCCAGCGGGGGGGGGGGAAGCTCCTGGTGCCTGTGAGCTTTGCCAGGGGGAATTTGAGAATCCCTGGATTCCTGGGGGGGGTCCCCGGGGGGGGGGGGGGGGGGGGGGGTGAAAAAGCTGCGGCTGGAGGAAGACTCCGAGGAAGAAGAGACACAGGGGACACTGGGAATGTGCCAACCTGCAACCACTGGAAGAGGGGAGGGGGAAAAAAAAAAATTTGG